TAATACTCTTGAGTCAAACTTTCCTCTGCATTTATGCATTCCATAACAGAACATTACTTTGCTCTTTCTGTAATTTTCTCTTTCACTGCTAATATACCTATGTTACAGATCTGTGGGGACGCGAGGCTAAATGCTGCTAATTGGCAGACCATAAGGAAATTCAGCTTTCTCTGACACAGTAAACCTGCACTGACTGCTAGGAGTACATCTATACAGGAGGCAATCCTGTTCTGGTAGACAGACAGCATGCACCAGGTCTGACTGCTACCCAAAGTTGCTAGAATCCCCCAGATTTGACTAGAATAGAATGAAAATCAATACACAGATTTTAATTTGTCCAAATATAACATTAAAGGATAAGCAATACTCTTCTAAAGTCTATACACACCATCTCCCTGGATTTCTGTAAAAATCCAATGTTGGATGTGTGAGATAGGCATCTCATTACTGAAAACATGGGAGTCAATGGGACAGGAACAGGAACAACAATGCTACAACGTGTCACAGTACACAATGCTATAGTTTGGAAACAAAAATATATATTTTCTTATGGCAGAGAGAGGCAGTTCACCCTCTTCAGGAACCATTTTGTACGGATAAATTAAATTGCAAAGGCCAAAAAAAAAAAAAATAATGCTCATTTATCTTGGTCACTCAGCCAGAGGTAAAACCTCCCCTTACTGCACTGAGGAGCCATCCACGAGACCAACATGGTGGAGGCTGCTCAAAGCACAGCGGAGGTGCAGAAGGACCTAGCAGCCACCGCTCATCTCACATGAACCAGTTTAGACACTCGTTTCATATATTCTGCAGGAAAAGTGCTCTGCTCTCCTTCCTGCCCCATATTAAATGGGAAACTAGCACCAGCTACTGCTTTCTTTGAGGGCGGGTGTTTTTATCCTTTTGCCTTACCTGGGAGAGGGACACAGATACACATGTCAACGTTCCTGACTGCATCCTGCTTCTGGAATTACTGTTTACAGTGACATTACTGCATCCTGAGGAAACACATACTATCATTACCTGGGAAGCTTGGTGGAGGGAGGCACCAGTCAGCACTAACACTGTGACACAACAGCCCAAGTTTTGCTGGGCCATCGTTACAAAGGTTAGATTAATTTTCAGCTAAAGACGAAATGTTATCATTCTGAGCAAAGCTGTCTGCAATTAAACGATCACACTGACAGTCAAGCTGAAAAAAATTAAGCAGTTCCAGACTTATTTCTACTCCTCTTTTGTCTCTTTGCCGACCCAAAAGTCCTTGATTTCTCCAGTACCCAGTGAAATATCGCATTTTTTTATTTCTGTGTTGCCCTGGGATTATCATGGAAGGTGAGGAAAAATAATTTGCAAGGTACTGTTTAAAGAAATGGGAACAAAGAAAGCAGATCTGCTGCAAGGGAACTGCTTTTGGAAAGAAAAGTAGCTGGAGCAGCTCTTGACACTTCAAAGACGCAGGGAAGTCAGAAGAAAGGGGGAGTGGTTCACAACGGTGCAAATCCCAACTGGAAGAGGTTTGCCCGAATCAGCCTCCGAATCTCAGCTCCCCACATCATTTACTTTTACTACGTTTCCCATTTCAGCATTTACCTTTTTTTTACTGTGTTCTTAATTTACATAACTAGTCAATCAACATCAACATCTAGCAGATAAATTAAACAATGTAGCTGGGGTCTTTACTCCAACTGCTTACTACCACTCTGACTTGATTATGGAATGCCAATCATGTCATTTTATTATCATTTAATGTTGACAGCTTCTCACGTAACTTTATGTAATCTTAACTCTAAATGAAGAGTGGAGAAATGCCTGACTTGGTCAGGAACAGATTGAAGCTTTAACCGAAGCTTACAAAATTGGTCTGCTGTTTAAATAATAAAAAGCAGTCTGGAGCAAAAGCTTTAAACAACTTAAAAGCAAAAGCTTCTCTTCTAAGATCAACCGTCTAAAATTTTATGCTATACCTATTAAATTTCAAATCCAATATTTTACAGGTTTTATTATTATCTTTACAAATGGCCATATTTCAGCAAATAACCTCAAAGAGACTTTAAAAACACTCCTCCATGGGTAGCCTGTTTTCTAATTTCTTCCCAAGGGTTCTTTCTGTGATGCCATTACTACTGGAGGTAGAGCGCAGGATTCCTCTGACCAACAATCTCACACAAAAACTGCTGTGTCCTGTTTCTGTGTTCCTCTGTCAGTACCAGATGTTTCTATTAATTTAGCTTAAAACCCACAAAACCAGAAATAATTGGGCCATACCAGAAAAAGAAGATGTCAAGGACAATAAACTCAAAACCTGGAATTAATCTATTTTAGCAAGATATAACGGAGTCATTAAAGGTATGTGTGAACTATATGTTTTTCCAGAAAAGTCTTTAGTGGCTCAAAGATAGAGGCCAATAAGCAATGATCCGTTGTCCAGATTGCAACTTTTTTCATTAACTTAATACAAACTTTCCAGTATTTTTTTTAAGAATATAAACCAGACATAAGGGTTCCCAGCAAATTATGATATGTATTAGCAACAGTAAAAATGCGGTACATTTAACACAAAAGTAAATAATCAATTAGAATCAGATATACACAGAGCTACATCGCGTAGCTGACTGAGGCTGAGTGTAGGAGTAGGAAAAACATAACTGAAAACTACACAGTATTGATGGGCTTGATATCATTTTTTTTGCCTTTGCCTGAACTGTAAAATTCACGTATTCTACTGTATTTTTAGAGTGCTCATATGCTCCAAAAAGATAGCTAAGCTTTTCACATACAAATGAGAAGAAAAATTTACATCCTTATGTGAGGAAAAATAATAGGACCTAATAAGTATGCAATACAAAATCAACTTTAATCATATCTTTTCGGATAAAATATTACTGAACAGTCTGAAAAGGCTTCAAACATCCCATTATTCCCGTTTTGACCTGAGGCAAAGCAAAGCCCTGAAAACACATTAAGGGTTCTATTCAAGACTAAACGGGCTACGCTTGTATTATGGAATTTACAGGAGAGTTAAACAATGCTGAATATACCCGATTCAGAAATAGAATAAATTGTTGTTTTTTTCAGAAGCTTATCAAAGCTTCATCATAAGTGGCAATGCACAAAGAATCACCTTGTTTAATCGGTTATGTACAAACATGTGAACACCTAAGTTTACTAATAAAAATACATATTATGCATCCTTTGCTAAAATCAGAGTTCCTTCCATATTATTAAGTTCCTAGTCCCAGCCCAAAAAGGAAACTCTAGCCAGTCAGAGGGCTGCACTTCTGGACATTCCATGCTCCTGTACTGAGAGGAAAACAGCAGAATTTTATAGAAGGGGAAAAAAAATCTGCCTAAGCATGTTCTCATGCTCTTTCTTTAAGAAGTAAGATATAAGGATGGCTTAAACTCTTGACATCCAGTCGATTATACATAGTGATAAAATTCTCAGTTAAACTAAATGCAAACTGACTTCAACTATCCTTTGAACTACCGACCTGACCCCAACCGGGCGTTTTCTCCCCCATATATAGTTACCTTCGTCTTCGAGAGTAAATCTAGCTGACCCAGCAACATACCAGGAGGAAAGGAGTTTCAAAAGAGCTTTGGGTCTGACCAGCAACAGTGTCAGAAACATGCAATTTCAAGATCAAAGCAGTCTGCAGAGTCAGTGGGAGTTCAATTAACAGTGAATTGTTCAAAGATCGACTGTACTGAAGAAATGTCTGCATGCACAATCACTCTTTGTCCTCATCCTTTCAATTATTCACTTTAAGAGAAGAAATATAAAGGAGGCAAACACAGCAATACATTATAATTAAGTGGCAAGTCGACACTTGCCTGCTTAGGCATTCAGTTAGCTTGAATTTATACACTTTATTGTCCCTTGCTGATATATGGAACAGTATTCTGGGTTATTTATAAAACATAAATTGCTGCCACATTACTAATATTATAAGCAAAAACTGACTTCACACCATTTCATTTTATCATATAGTTTTACTAAAAAAAAAAAACAGGTATGTCTTTATCACAGAGCAGTGTAGAGATACCCGAGCTACCTTGAAACAGATTAGCTGCCTTACTTGCAAACAGCCTAATTATGCCAGCACAGAGTTTAGCAGGAGATAATTTAAGCTGTTTTTCACCACGGTAAATAAGGCTGCGCTGAATGAAAGGCTGGACTGCCTTGGTACTTGAGCTAGCCTGTTTAAAGCTGGTTTATGCACCTTCGTGGTAGAGATGTAGCCTCCTTTATAAGTGAGTGCAGCATATTCATTGACATATCTTTTAAAGAAAGATAGTTTATTTTTTATTAGACCCTCTCTTATTTATTAGCAGCACTATTAAAAGCAAATAGCTATTAAATGGTCTGCAAAGCAGCCTATAGCAGAGGGTTGATCTATTATATCTTATGGATATCCTTCTGTTAATAAAATCAAAAGCTGCTGAAGATCTCCATGAGAAGCACATCTGAGGTGTACAAACCAGGTACTCAGTACAATATCATGATGGCTGCCACATGTTCCAGGCATTCAGAATTCTTCGACAAATAAAGTAGTGGTGGCAGTTCAGCAAATCACTTAAACAGGCTTCCTACCATTCAAAAGTCAACACTAACAGCAGCCCGGTTTGACTTTTTGTCTGTTTTGTGTAAAATAGATTAGAGAACGAAAAGATTCAGAATTATACTTCTTTATTGTTTTTTAATTTCTGTCCCAGTCTTTGTCATAAGAATTTGCTGCAATGCACCTGAATAACTTAGTAAATGCAGTGCACATTCCGAACTGGCTAATGTAAATAATGTAAATATCTTTACCTAGTGTGCTTGAAATGTCTTATTATGACCTGCATATTTCTCTGACAGAAAATCCAATCTTGATCTAAGTACCAGGTCCTCACTTTCACCTAGCTGTATTTTAGAATTTCTGGAAATCTTTGTCTTAACAATTCATTCAGTTAAAAGAAAAAAAAAAACAATAAAAAAGCAAGTAGATGTGTCTTACCTAAAGACTGGTAAAGCTCAGTCATTTTGGGATGATCCCAGCAGGTGGTTTGCGTCTCATGGCTACAATACAAAATGTGAAAGTTAGTAAAATAAAATGATACAAAATACTAAAAAGATAGTAAAATAAAAAACAGCCCAAGGCCCGTATCACAATTCTGTCCCAGACTGCCACCAGCAGCCTGGATGACTGCTAAAGAAGTGAGTCTCATCAGTAGTAGAAATGCCTTCTTTCATATCACCTTTCAGAAAATGGTTATTTTGTACCATTAGATTAAGGCATGGGCTCCAAAAGCAAAATCATGATTAAAAGTGCTGCTAACATTAAAAATACTGTAAGTATTTAGCTATGCAATAATGTTTGGGGGAATTTATAATCATACCAATTATTTTTTTAAAAAATCTATGTTTTATTTGGATCGTCCCCTGATTCCTCCATATTGGAGGACAAGCAGTTAAAAACTTCTTAGTTGCTCTCAGTAACTTCAAGAAAGTTCTGTCCGGGCACTGACATCCATCACATTTTTTAGGGGTGTTGCATAAAGCTACCGGATGCTACACTGCACCCACTGCTTCCATTCCAACCACCTGCACTGAATTCTCACATAACAGTCCCCTGAACTGCTGTCCGATCCTGTGTTTCGGGCCAGTGATGTGCTGCACCCCACGTATAGACGTCTCTGTCTGTGTAAGGCTAAGTGTTGCTCTTACTGGTTCTTGGTTCCTTTCCCAGGCCCTAGAGGTGCCCGTTAAGTTTCAGGAGGAAGAGCTGCTGGGAAGACAGGAAAAACCCTCACCAGCGTTATGAAACTCTGCAGTGTGACTAGAATGTAAATTGGCCAACCTCTGCATTGAAGCTAGCAGCCTTTAGTCTTGCAGCAAAACATGTTGCCAAAAGACATGCAGAGCGTGAGAAAGTCAACAAAATGTTGTTAGTGTAACAAAAACTCGTGTCTCCAAAGTTTACACATTTCATGTTTTTTTTTTATTTATTTTATTTCTTCTTATTATAATACACACAGTGCAATCCGGCTTTCATCAGTATGGAAAACTTAAAAAGAAAATGCTATTTATCTATTCAACATGCCCAGTTCTGGTCAAACAATATTCAGGTATATTAAAAGATGGCTTTGTGAATGTATTAAAAAAATACCGCAGAAGTATACGGTGGCTAGCCATGCCACTCGCAGTTGCTGTACTTAACAAGCAGACATGCTGCTTCCAAAGCACATACATTATTTGGAAGAAAATATGAGAGAGAGCAGGGCCCATCTGGAGTCACTAGAGCAAACTCCTTGCAGCTCCGGGGGAGTCCAGCTCACAATCCAGGGCAAACTCCAAGCCCTGCACTACGAGCTGTGCACTAGTGAACAAGCTAAAGACCTTGAATCACAGAATCGCAGAGCAGTTGAGATTACAAGGGATCTCTAGAGATCACCTAGTCCAACCCACTGCTCCAGCAGGGACACCTAGAGCACGTGGCACAGGGTGGCATCTGGGCAGGTTTGGAAGATCTCCAGAGAAGGAGACCCCACAGCCTCTCTGGGCAGCTTTGCTTGAGGCAGAGTGTTCTCAAGCACGGCCCTACAGGTATCACCTGGGCTGAAAAGGGTGATGTTTCTAATGAAACATGTACCTCAGCATGACCACTGCTAAAGGAAAAGTCATGACATGTTTCTTAGCTGTGATTGCTTACTTGATCCCAGCAAACACTATATCGATATATTCAGGAGGTTACTGTGAGTAATAATTCCCAGATTTCGCTCCACAACTGCCATAAAGAATGAAATTCGGGGGTGTCACAGGCAATAAGCTTAAGGAAAACTGCAGGCACAGTGTCGCACTAGTGGACCAAAAAAAAGGATTTAAAAAAAAAAGAAATCAACCGCAGTATCTGCTCTTCCTAATTATGGTGACTAAGAATAGAAAAAGTGGGAGAAGGCCACTGGAACACCTGAGGTAACCTTGCTCTTTGCATTGATAAAAATGAGCAGTGCAATGGGAGGTGGCTGAAATCACATTAAGTAAACAGAGATTTGTCTGTTTTTCAAATGCAGAAATTTGGTAGCTTGAAGTGAAAACCTGTTTATCCAACTCAACTGAATCTAAGTTTCTGGGTTTTTTTTCTGTGTTTGGTATATAGGGAGGTTCTAAAGCTTTTAGCACATCCAGTTAAAATGCATTTTAGAGGTAAAACAGAAGCAGTTCTCATTTATATACCGATGTCATAAAAATTTGGCCAGCATAAGCCTCTGCTTGTACAGTAGCAGCCTGAAGGAAAAGAGGAAGAGGGTGAATTTATTGCAAAAGAAGAACTCCACAGTGAGAGATTGTGTGATTTAGGCAAATGGGCTCGAGCACCCAATAAACATCCGAACCCGTAAATCAGTGGCTGCAGTTGGCTAGCACCCAACCTCAGCCCCACATCAGCAGCGCCCAAGGCACGAGCCTGGCACTCCTGGCTTGGTTCTCTGTGTGCACGGAGCCCCCAGACTGGGCTGGTCCAGGGGAAAAAAACATCCAGAATTGCAAAGAAATAGGTTTATCAAACAGGAGGCTGAGGTTGAAGCAGGTGAAAGAAATTTGAGAAATTTGCTGATGATTTCCCCCATATCTATCATGTAAAATGCTGTGAAATACTTGTGAGATGTTTGAGTAGCAATGGCGCCAGTGAATCTTACGCCAAATCTTAAAGAAAAAATGGAAGAAAAAAAGGAAAAAAAAAACCCTTATGCACAGAGTTACAGAAAGTCTCTGAAAATATTCTGCTTAATTTTCCCTGTGAGATTAGTTAGGAAGCCTCGTGTTGGTCTATGGATAAACTATATCACTTTAGACTCCATAGCTGTTAATGTGCTAGCTTTCGAATTCCTTCCTTAAATGTTATAAAGCCATCAAGTATCTGGTAAAGGAGTTGTAAGCAAATATTCATAGAGAATTCTAGAATCAAATGCCTGTAGGGAAGAGAAAAACAAAAGAACCATTTTAGAAGCAGAAAACTGCTACCTTTACTCACTCTTCAACATTACATCGGTGATCATATTTGTATTGATTTTTTTTTATGCTAAGGTTTAACCATGTATCAATGAATTTCAGTGTGTATGGATTAAGTTTATGGCATTCCAGTGCCAGAAAAATACAGTGCCAGAAAAATACAGGCTTTCAACTATTTTCATATTTTTTAACGTAAATAATCAGCTAGAGCGTGTGCTCTTCTCTGATGTATCGTAAAATTAATTCCCTCAAAAATACACCTTCCATTAGGAGCTGCTTTTCTCACTTCATCTAGAGGTCATAAAGACAGAGTTTGTGGGGCAGTTAAATTTCCCCTTCTCCTCCTCACTCTGCTTCCTTTCTAAACTTAGTTCCAAGCTAAAGGAAACACATCTTTGTTTAGGCTAAAAATGTGAAAGTTAGTGATCACCCTAACTCCTAACTTCTGCCATCTTCCAAGCAGTGACTGGTGCTGGGGCAGAAAAGTCTGCGTGAGGTTTTTATTAGTTTTGTGGCAACTCGGCAGAGACGACTGAATCTTGCATCCCCTAAGAGAGCAGGAGAAGGACTGGAGAACCACCGGTACCTTTTTGGCGCCTGCAAGAAAGCAAGTGTTTTCAAGAGAGCGGAACTCAGGTGGCTGTGGATCCTGCAAGGGTTACGTGCCCACGACGAGCGAGGGCAGGTCGTCCTGGTACTTTGCATTCAGAACACAAGGAGGCTGCAGCTACTCCGCTCCAGCTAAAAAGCGTTTGCCTCTCAACTGAATGCTTGCAGCTCGGAAAGTTATCAACAATTCTGCACACAAGTGCAGCTCAAGAAAAGGTTAGATCCCATCGAGACTGTTCCTCCTAAGCCTCTTTGCCATTTTCAAAGGCCATTTAATTGCAAGCTTTGGGGCTGGCCCAGTGGGGGAGGATTTGTGTGTGTACCCTTATTGTGAACAGCATCTAAAGTGGAATGCCAGCTCAGCAGTTGTAGGCAGCCTTGGCCACGCTCGGGAACGTCGTGGCATCCTTAATAGATCTGCAACAAAGTGCCTGCCAGAGTTGCAAACTCCGGGTAGCGAGGCCAGATAGAGTCCCCAAGTTCCAGAGACAGGAGAAATGTGTCGCAAGGCTTCCTGGCCAGTAGCTGTCTGAGGAGGGTGAAAATACGGGCAGGGAGAGGTACTGAGATGCCTTTCCAAGGAGCTGCTGGCATACGAAGAATCAACACGCACACTCAATAGTTTTGCAATACTGCACAAGCTCATAGGATACCTTTTTCCAGTTGCCTCTTCATTTAGGGCAATTAATTAATGAGCTTTTAAATCATGAAGCTTTTGCAACAACAACAAAAAGATACAGGTGTGCTCACGTGGCTTGTTTTCCTCTCTCACCTGTGTTATTATGATGTGAAGGTGAAAGCAAACCAGGTCTGAAGCAAAGAACAGCAGCGGGTAACGGTGACACCCAGGTGCTGCTGCGACTGGCACACTACATACACCAATAATGCCGTGGGGTGAAAACATCGTCTTCACTTAATATATATCCTCTGGGAGCTGCAGGACCACCTCATTAAGGGATGATCATGCTACATTAGCAAGGATAATGTGGGGAATTCTGCTACACGAAGCCCATGCAAATTCCTCTGCTCCTGCCAGAAGCTCAGAGATTTGTCCCTCATCCTTGACGCCACAGCTAGTAACATACAGGATTGAAATCCTGAAATCAGGAGATGATATTCTAAGTGACACACTAACTGAATCACATTTCTCTTTTATAACTTGAACTCTTTGGACCAAATGTGCTTATTTTCCTCTTCCTGCATTTTATATTGCCTTTGAGCAACACCAGCAGCAGGAAGAGCAGAGAAAAATTCCCCATGTCCACATCCCCCATATTAAAACATACCTGTACTGATCAAAACGAAACATTTGCAAACCTTTTTAACCACTCTTAATCTTACCCATTCTTCTACTTTTTGTACATGATAGTCTGTCTCTCATGTTTATTTATTGCTAAGTTTCAGGGTCTACGATTAGAAACTGCAACTGCCCCCCCCCACTCTAAGCTCCTACATTCTTT